TTCCATATTAAAGGATTCATCAGGCCTTTTGGAAATAGTAATCCCCTTATTTATTATCTTAAGAAACAGTTAATCATAATTACACTAACTTAAAGTGATTTAGGTCCTGTGGTTAGGAAAAAGGCCCCTTATCCCAGAGGGCCACTGAATTCCCTCAGGTCTATACAATCCAGTGAGATTTGGAGTTAGGTGAAATTCCAGATCCTGTTCACTAAGAACACCTCCTAGCATCTGCTCTGTAAAGAATCTGGCTCTCTAGGTGCTTCTCAGCTTTTATTTTGGGTGAGTTAGGGTAGAGAGATACAGGATAAGAGAGGAGAGGGCTTCATTCAAACAGCTGCATTTATAGAATTACAAGATTCATAGAAAGGTAATGTCCATCTCTTCAAATTCTCTTAATAAAACTAAGCATGGGGAGGCGGGGGGGAAGGAAAAAAGAAAAAAAAAAACCTAAGCATGACAGTCATAGACCTATACTTGCACAGAAGGTGAAATGGACTCCTTCCTATAACTTAAGTAAACGTAATTATCTGTTAATTTGCTAAAGTATAGGGAGCATAAGGTTATAGATTCTCCAAATAAGAATAAAGCTTTTCAAAAACTGGAGAGCCTTTGAAGTGAGACACAACTGTGAACAAGGAATAGTCAGTTTCCTCCCATTCAATAGTAGACACGGATCAATCATGTCAACTCTTGTGGGAGGATGAATATCTAGGAGTAAGGTATGAAAATACATCTGTCTATTGATCTACTGAGCAAGGACAAGACATAACCAAGCTTTTCTCTCTAGTTCCATACTGTCAAAACACTCCAGACCACTGTATTCTCTTGATCACATTAATCTTTGTTATTTCTGATGTAGTTAATCTTCCAGTGAATCAATATGTACATATAAGAAAGAAGATAGAATAGAAAGACTTCCAGACTACAACTGTCTGGGACATAAAAAATTTCTCCTTAATGGATTTACTGGAGCAGAATGCTGACATATCTTGGTCTACCACTTCCATAGTCAGAACTTAATTTCTGGGCTTAAGTGTAAAAAGACCAATAATTCTGAAAAAAAAAAAAAATTCAGAGTGTATGTTAATAGAGTATTTTGCTCATGGCTTTAAATATGATTATTTAAATATACCCATACATATTTTAATGCAATTATTTGAGCATTGATATGTTATGCTAGAAGGAGACTTTACACAGTATTTAAAAAATTAAAGAATCCCGGGCCTACCCGGTGGCGCAGCGGTTGAGCGCTGGGTTGCGAAGCTGCCCGCAGCCTCTGCAGTGCCGGTTCGATCCCCGGCTGCTCCCCGGCCACCAGAGGAGGGTCCCACATGGCGCGCAGACCTCTCCTGCCGCCCGCTGCTCCCCTCAGCAGTGTACCTCGGTCCTTCTGCCTGCTCTGCTCCCCGCTCTGGCTCTGGTGAATTCTCTCACCCTCCCGCGCTTCTGACTGTACCCAGTGCTTGTATAAATAAATAAATAAATCTTTAAAAAAAAAAAAAAAAAATTAAAGAATCCCAATGTTCTTGGACTTCAGATTTACAGAAATTTGGTCTATTATCTCTTGAAGCATATGTGAACACAAATATCTAGGTCTTTTCTGAATGAATATATTAAATTTTAAATATTTTGGCATTCAACAAAGAAATGTGGAAATTCACTAGGGAATCTAGGTAATCAGTATCTTCAAGACCTCAGATAAAGCAGGGGTTGAATTGAAATCTAAATTTCACTTAATTATTCTATGGCCCTATGCTTGGTGCCTTAGCTTAATTTTAAAACAAATAGTAAAGCAAAGTAGTAATAAAGACCTGCCAAAGAGCATAAACCCTTTTATTCTCCTTTGGGCAAAGATGGCAGGAACAATTCTCTTAACTCCAATATCTAGATATTGTGCACAAATTTTAATAATTATTATAATGCTCTTGCATATGAAAGCAGCATAGAACTATAGTTAAGAACATGACTTTAGAGCCGAACAGATAGTGCAGCTATTTGTAATAGTCTATTAGTAAGTATTTTCTGATTCCAGTCTATGAACTGGGACCTGGTAATACCTAGCGATACTATAGTTTCTAGACTCAAGATAATTTAATCTCTTAAGGGAGACATGAGCCATAACAATAAATATATGGATTAATATTCCACTGTTTGATAAGTTTTCTGTCACAAACAAATGTAAAAAATACATATAAAGACACAATGAGAACACAGAAAGATCACCTGCAGACTTCTGTTTGAAGTAATTCAGCAAAGCCTCATGCAGGAGATAAGTTTTGACATAGATACTGCAAGAAGAAAAATAGCTAGCAAAAGGAAATGAATAAAAGGAAGAAAGAGGAAAATTGAATTTAGAGAAGTATGTGAAAAAGTGCCGATTTTACAAAGCAGGATGTCATAATTTGGGAATGTTTAAAAGTCTGGTGTTACCTCACCCAGGACATAGCAAAGGTACTTGGTGAAAAGTCTGGAAAGAATGGTTCTTTTTTTTATCTAAAATGCAATTTTGACTATGGAGACTTAAATGATTTATTAGAACCATCTCATCTATGGAATATGTACCAAAGTCTAGGTTTAATTACTTAAATTCTTACTCTGAATAAATTAATCTAAATTATGAACATGTATTAATCAACTTAAGCTTCCCAAAAACTAAACAACAACTTTTGTTTGACCCACTTTACAGGTGAGGAAATGAGAAAAATAATGATGGTATGCATAAACAATCAATCTTGTTATGAAGATAAATGCATTTAATAAAAGGGTATAAGGAGAGTCCATGATGGGAATAAAAATAATCAGATGGAAAGAAAGAAGCAAGTTACAGCATTACTAATGATAGTTAATAAATTTCAAAGTTTATTGAAGTTTATTTCTTGTGCACCAAATATCATAATACTTGTAAGTATCATGTAAATGATCAAAAAACTCCACGTTCAACTGATAAAATTTTCAAATAACTCCAGGGATACTACTAGTAATGTATAGCTAGTTTAAGCTGACCTATACTCTCCCCAAAATACTAGGTGATATAGGTCTAATTCCAGATTAGTGAGACAGTATACCAGACTTTATAAGTTACGACAGAGTAGACAGTATTTGTAATCTTATTATAATTAAATTCAACAGATCCCCTTCTAATTAATGAACAGTATACATACTGTTAAAGGATCAAAAACAATGATAAAAAGAACCCTGTTATTGGTCTATACTGATTTCAAAATTATATTTCAATTGTTTCAATGTAGGTATGGAAAGTATCCAGACAACACTGATTAAATTCAGGGAGTGAACATTGATTAGTGCTTAGTAATAAAAAAAAGAGAAAAAATAAGATGAAAGAAATTAGATAATGATTATTTTAAAGTATTATCTAATATAAAACAATACAAATTATCAAGTATAAATGAAAAGGATAATTTTTAAAGCATTTGCTTAAAATTTTGTTTTGAGAAAAGTAACTTTTTTTCTTGCCAAGATAGTGCTTAATTATAAGGTCTAAACTTTTCTTGCAAAATTGAGTTGCCTTGAGTGTTTCTTCTTCTGTCAAAGAGAGTCAGAACACCTAGATGAGAGCCTCCCTCCCGCCCTGAGCTTACTTCCATGGTAGGGGAGAAATCTGACTTTAAAATTATGAAAAATATAAGTAGGCTATATTTCACTATGAATTTATCATTTGTAACAGGAGATACAGAGTTTGGCATAAAGAAAAATTGTGTGGACTTTTTAATCTTGCAGAATTATGTTAGAATTTTGGTATCTTAGCTACCCTTTTTGTGATGCCTTTATATTACCTGTAACACTCTGAGCTTCTATATCCTTACCTGTAAAACTGGACAAACAATATTTAGTTTGCATTATTTTTCTATTTAAAAGTGAACATATGCAATGACACCAGGACAATGTCTTTTTTGTCTTAAGATCAATATCACTTTCCTCCATATATAAATTATATGAACTGAAATCACATTAATAGTGTATAAATCAAAAGAGCTAACAAGTGTGTAGCTCTCTGCAGTGACTAGTATACTCAGATATAAGTAATAAAAGATAAGAAGAGGCCCCACTGGGAAATGTACAGAAGTGTTAAGTGGTAAGGGCTAGGATTTTTGAAAACTGCTGTTATAATAAGTGGGTATATAAGCTGGGAATGTTTCACTGCAAAAGAGAACTTAGTGGAGGTGTGACTGTTCAATTTCAGATTTTATGAAGACCTCCATGCAGAAGATGGGTGGGCCTGTAGAACTCTGCAGGAAAGATGGTGTTTTCTCACAGCTCCTGATGGCTGATTCTGTAACAGGACTAGAAAAACATGTAAGAGACTGGCTAAGACATGAGTACCCAGACCAGAAAATAGTCAGACATCAGCTAGTAAATTATTTTGGGAATGACATTAAAAACGAATTTCTGTAGCAGACTTCTCCTGTCTCACCCACTGCTCCCCTCAGCAGTGCATTTCAGTAGATCTGCCTGTTCTGTTCCCCACTCTGTTCCTGGTGCATCCTCTCACCCCTCACACCTCTGGCCTACACCCCAGTTCTTGTCTGCATAAATAAATAAAAATAAATATTTTTCAAAAAAAACAAATTTAGGCTAGATGAATTCTGATATCCTTTTCACTTATACTATCTGCTATTTACATAAAAACCTAACTTGGCCTTAAGATTAAAACAAATTGCGAATTCAAACAGTGATACTGAATTTTATTGTCCACGGAGGTTTACAAAGTTGGGGTTTCTCCTTTGTTTTGTTAAGAAATCCATGAGATTCGTGACTTGGTTTACAATCAGTTGTTTAAGTCTCCTTGTGTAGTTTTGGGCTAATGTTGCTAAGTTTGCTTTCACTCTAAAAATACAACCTTGGATATTTTCTGATGGGCTATTTCGGGGTCTTCCAGATTTCTTTCATTTGTTTCCAGATTTATTTGTGATGGTCTTGGCGGAAAACCTTGGTCTTAAAAAGGAGGATTTCATCAACAAAAGACAGAGGACATCACAATGGAACAAGAGAATAAATCTCAGACATCACCAAACACCTTCTTGCTGGTGGGAATCCCAGGACTGGAGCACCTGCATGTCTGGATCGGGATTCCCTTCTGCTCCATGTACGTGGTGGCCGTGGTAGGAAACGTGACCATCCTGGCGGTGGTGAGAGCAGAGCGCAGCCTCCACGAGCCCATGTTCCTCTTTCTGTGCATGCTGTCCGTCACGGACCTGGTGCTCTCCACGTCCACGCTACCCCGCATGCTCTGCCTCTTCTGGTTCGGAGCCCGCGACATCGCCTTTGAGGCCTGCCTGACCCAGATGTTCTTCATTCACAGCTTCACTGCCATGGAATCGGGTTTTTTCCTGGCCATGGCCATTGACCGTTACGTGGCCATCTGCCACCCACTGCGCCACACCACCATTCTCACTCACGCTCGCATTGCTAAAATGGGAGCTTCTGTGGTATTCCGGGGTGTGGCCTTCTTTTCTCCCCATCCCATCTTGCTCAAACAGTTGCCCTACTGCAGGACTCGAATTATCGCCCACACCTACTGTGAGTTCATGGCTGTGGTTAAGCTGGCGTGTGTGGACACAGGTGCCACCAAGCGCTACAGTCTCAGCGTGGCCTCTGTCATTGGTTCCTGTGATGGTTTTCTCATTGCTGTGTCCTATGTCCTAATCCTCAGAGCAGTCTTTCGTCTTCCTTCGCGGGAAGCAAGCTTTAAAGCTCTAGGCACATGTGGCTCCCATGTGTGTGTCATCCTAGTTTTCTATTCCACAGCTGTTTTTACCTTCCTTACTCACCGCTTTGGCCACAATGTTGCCCCCCAAATTCATATCTTCATTGCCAATATGTACCTTCTGGTACCACCCTTTCTTAACCCAATTGTTTATGGTATTAGGACCAAGAAAATTCGAGAATATGTCCTTAGGTTTCTAAGGATAAAGGCTGCCTGATTATAATGAATTTATTTGCAGGCATGGTATCAGAATAAAAAAGGGAAAGAATAAATATTTGACCCCTTTCTTCATGAAGAAACTAATTTTTCTACCACTGAAATGAATATTTTATCACATTTTAATGGAAAAGAATGACCCCCACATAGATGAAATTTCCCAGTTTTAATGAAATTGATGGGCATATCATTTATGTGCATTTGGAATTTAGGAAGTTTACTTAGAATTTGATGAATGGGAAAGGAAGCCCCTTCTGTTCTGTGCTGCTACTGATGTTCTATGGTGTAGCTTGGAAGTAGTAGTTTATTTTCAAATAGACAATGATTTAAAAAGGGAAGAAACCCATGAAAAACTAAAATAACTTTGATATGAAGTATCTGCAATTAAAAAATATCAATTATATTGATAAAATTATCAATATTATACAAAAGAGGCAATATAATAGGGTCGATATGCTCTGAATATATCAAATAACTATATGTTTACTCATAAGAATTGACATAGGACAAGTTGCCAGTCAGAAACATGGAGAAGTCAGCATCGCAATAATCAAGTCCATTGATTTTTAAACCTGTATTGCTCAGACTATTTCCTGCCCACAAAGAATAACTTGTATCTGCTATTATTTTGTTACCTGAACTAACATGAGATCTCTTTATAACCTCATCATGGAGTAGCCTGAAAAATAAATATAATTTTATACTTGATGTTACATACTTAGGCAAGCCCACTGAGTTAGATTCAAATATGCTGGTCTTTAGATGTTATATGTCCTTATTAAAGGAGGCTATTATAAATAACTTAAAGTTTGTAGTAATTATGCCACTGGTATAATGATATTGAAAATTAAATTATAAAAAAGAATATAAAAATTTCCACTGGAAAAAACCTGAACATGTCCTCCTGAACATGATCTTGGCTTAAATGAATAGAAATTATTTCAGAGGCAATTAATAAATACATGCTGATTCATCAAATTAGTGTTTTCTTTTTAGTGATTTAGACCTTGAGAAATATTATTTGTACCTTCCTTCTTTTCTTACTACTGTCCTTCTATTTAGTCTAGAACCATCTTAAAGGTGAATCTGTACCATTCCTATTTCTTAGGCTCATATACCATAGTTCAAGTTTTTATCATGTTACAGGAGGGCTACTTAGCTGTTTCCACTAACATTTTCAAAGCATTTGCTCTTAACTACTATGTTCAGTGCATGGAAAAGTAACACTGGATCTTAAACACTGGTGAGAAGAAACACAGATTTCTATAAGGATTCATAGCATTGTGTTAGGAGAAGCAACAAAAGCTTTATTAAAAGTGATATTTATTAATAGTGCCAAATAGCTAAGAGAAGAAAGTAATGTCATGAATGGGGATGTGGATTTTACAGAGAGAGAAAGAAAAGGTTGTATGAGCCTGTGTGGATTTTAAGATAGGAAAGTGTGTCACAGATTCAAAAAACTCTTTTTTTTTTTTAAATAATAAATTTTATTTTTATATTCCCCATACAATTGCAACCCCCCATTCTGACCCTAATCCCTCCCCTCCCACCCCTCACCCCCCAAAAAGTGTCTCTGGTTCATAGTTTTTTGTTGATTTTGATTTTCGCTTTCTTATAGTTATTCATTTTTCTGGTCCCTTATTTAAGTTTTCTAGATTCCTGCTATGAGTGAGACCATCCGGTATTTTTCTTTTCAAAAAACTCTTTTGCATTTACTTGGAAGTTTAGCTTCTGTTTTAACTTCTGATTATTTTTTTCTGAAATGTTGGCATAATCCCCTCCAGTTCTTTCCATGTTGCTGCAAGTGACGAGATTTTATATATATTTTTAATAACTGAATAGTAAGTATTCCATTATCTATATATACCTCATATTCTTTATCAACTCATCTGTCAATGAATATTTAGATTGTTTCCATAAGTTAGTTATTGTAAATAGGGCTTCAATGAACATAGGAGTGCATGCATCCCTTTGAATTAGTGATTTGGTATTGTTTGGGTAAATACCAAGTAATGGAATTGCTATATGCCTATAGTAATAAAGGCAGTATGATATTGGAATAAACATAGATACACAGACCAATGGAACAGATGAAAACCTGAAAAAAAGCTCACATTTATATGGTCAGTTAATCTATGACAAAGGAGCCAAGAGTATACAACAGGGAAAGGAAAGTCACTTCAACAAAAGGTGGTGTGACTGGACAGTCACATACAGAAAAATGACACTAGACCACTTTCTCATGCCATACACAAAAATTAACTCAAAATGTATAAGTTGATTGCAAAGTCAGAAACCATAAATAACATAGAAGAAAACATAAGCAAAACACTCCACAACACTGGCTTCAAGATGTATTTGAGGACTTGACTTTAATGGCAAGAAAAACAAAGCAAAAATAAGTGAGTGGAACATAGAGCTTCCATATGATCCAGCAATTCCACTCCTCGGTATTTACCCAAAGGACACAGAAACATCAATTCCAAAGAGCACCTGCACCCCTATGTTTATAGCAGCTCTATTTACAATAGCTAAGCTTTGGAAACAGCCCAAATGCCCAAAAATAGATGACTGGATCAAGAAGATGTGGTACATATATACCATGGAATATTACTCAGCATTCAAAAAAGATAAACACATGCAATTTGCAGCAACACAGTTGGCGCTGGAAGGGCTCATGCTCAGCAAAATAAGCCAGAAAGAAAAAGAAAAATCCCGGATGATCTCACTCATAGCAGGAATCTAGAAAACTTAAATAAGGGACCAGGAAAATGAATAACTATAAGAAAGTGAAAATCAAAATCAACAAAAAACTATGAACCAGAGACACTCTATGGAGGGTGGGGTGCAGGGAGGGGAGGAATTGGAGTCAAAATAAGGGTGTTGCAATTGTATGGGGAATATGAAAATAAAATTTATTTAAAAAAACATTCATGCATACCTGAAATTTATATAATGATATAATGCAAGGTTACTTCAATTTAAAAAATAACAGGCTAAACTCAAAAGAAATGGAAAATAATAAAAAAAAAAGTGAGTGGGACTATGTTAAGTTAACACACTTCTGCACATTGAAGGAAACTATCACTAAAACAAAAACATACCCTACTGAATGGGGAACATTTTTCACATATTGCATCCGACAAGGAACTGATATTCTATATCTACAAAGAACTCACACAATTCAACAAAACAAAGAACCCAATCAAAAAAATGGATGGAAGAACTAAATAGACACATCTCCAAAGCAGACATGCAGATGGCAAACAGTACATGAAAAATGCTCAACACTACTTATTATAAGGGAAATGCAAGTTAAAAACCCCAATGAGATATCACTTCATCCCAGAGAGAACAGGCCATATCCAAAAAAAAAAAAAAAAAAAAAAAAAAAAAAAAAAAAAAAACCAACAGAAACAACAAATGTTGAGGGTGTGGAGAAAAAAGAACCCTCATACTGCTGATGGGAGAGTAGACAGGTCCAGCCCCTATGGAAAACAGTATGGAGGTTCCTCAAAATATTAAAAGTAAATCTTCTATTTCATCTACCGATTTCATTCCCAGGTATTTACCCAAAGAATACAAAAACACTAATTTGAAGGGAAATATGCATTCCTATGTACATTGCAGTCTTATTTGCAATAATTAAGTTATGAGAACAACCTAAATATTCATCAGCAGATGACTTGACAAAGAAAATGTGGTATATATACACAATGGCACACTTAGTCTTCACTTATTAAAGAAAAGATGAATTCTTGCTATTTGCAACAATATGGACAGAGACAGAGGGGATTATGCCAAGTGAAATAAGTCAGGAGAAGGAAGAACCAATACAAATGATTTCACTCATATGTGGTATATAGAGGAAAGAACTCATAAAATTCAGTACCAGAAATGCATTGACAAAAATAAACCAAAATAAATCCTACAAATAAGACTGCTGGGGGCAGGGAGGTCTGAGGTGGGGACAAAATGGTGAGGGGGAACAATGGTCTAGGGCAAAGGACTATGGGTGTTTGGATGTTGAGGGTGGTGTGGTAACATACATCTGAGAAAACTATGTGTGAACCTATTCTCCTAAATCATGTACAATGTTATAAAACAATGTTTCCTCAACAAAGAAAAATTGAAGTCCTCCTAAACACCAGCTCTCGTCCATAGATACCATCCTCAATGACCAGTGATTGGCTATAGGATTTGTTCCCCAGAATATACAAGCTATACAAAACACTTTGCCAGAGAGCCTCTAGGGACCCAGGAGATCCAGGATAAAGTGGCACAAATCTGCCTCCAGCTTACACACACCATCTATTCTGGACATCAGCAAATCTTCCTACTCAAGTGGTCCCAGACCACTGTGACTGCACTCAAAACCATCTGCAGGTATTTCTCTATGAAAAAGAAGAAAAGGAGGGAGAGGTAAAGAGTAGAAAATCCTGGGATAAAAAAATTATGTAAGAAAAAGATTCTCAACTCTTTTCCTATAAACACCACTGCCACCAGTGCTTGTAAGGCTATGGATAAAATCTACACTCTTTAGAATGCTCAGTGACATTCCATAAGAGTAATAAGTATCTTTCCAATCTTTATACTTAAATTGGTGGTGTCTTTACTTATAATTAATGTTGATATAGTTGTTCCTAACATTTGTTCCTGATGCCTCAGTCAAAACATTATCATGTTGCTTAGATCTCTAATAATGGTCTAATGTTATGACTGCATGGAGAATTTTTCTCCAGAGTTCTGTTGACAATCACTCAGTTTCTCTCAGAAACTGAACCAGTAACAGTGGGCTCCTGGTTTCATGGGTCTGTCTTCTCTGTTTGTGTTTGTGAAAGGTTCCTTTCCCCTACTGAACTAATTGTAACTTTCAAATATTTCAGCATCATGCGTTTGGCTGTATCTAACAACATGAAATCTCTTTTTTTCCCCTCGAGCACATAATGAATCTTTGTGGAGAAAATATTATCAATGCCATCAAATAGCCATTTGTATGGTATCAACTCAAGACTATTCATTATCCCATTAACAGTTCTGTACAAGAAACAAATAAGGCAAAAAAAAAAATCACATAATTATTTGCATGACTCACTTAAACTTTGAACTCCATAGAAATAGAAGAAAATTTGCACTTGTAGGGCACCAAAGGATTCAGGAGTATTGCCTATTTTATACAACGTTGGAATTTAATAATCTGAACTGCAGGTTTTGCAAAGTAAGTTTCGTCACACTTTGAAATGAGGAAATGAGGCTCAGTCTTTAACAACTTAGTCAAATCAAATCAAGTATGTGGCAGGGTTGAAGCTGCATACCAGACATGTGCTATCTCAAAGACCTTGCTCTTTTCACTATATCAGGTTACCTTCAGGAGACCTGTCTTGTCATTCAGCTATGACTTTTTACCAAATACAGTAGATTTTATCCCTGAAACTGCTTCTCCCTCTTGCAGACATAAAAATCTGGGCTTATCTCCCTCCTTACCTCAAATAGCTGAAGTATTCATTTGATTTTATAATTATGATCATCCTGATCATGCCCATAAACCACTATAATGCCCAGCATTTTAGATGCAGAGGATGCAGAGATTTTAAAATGTCTCTTGTTTTTTTTTTTTCTCCCTAGGAATCAGATCTCAAGGAGCTCAGTTTAGGGATGTCCTCTTGCAACAGATCCATTCCTCAGCCTTTGATATTTGTTCTGGCTGGAATTCCTGGCTTGGAATCTTTCCATGGCTGGTTTTCTTTGCCTTTTTTCTTGGCATTTGTCATTACAATCATTGGCAATGTCACCATCTTATGTATCATCCGTGTGGAAAAAAGTCTTCATGAACCTATGTTTCTTCTCCTGGCCATGTTATCTGTTGTTGACCTGTCCCTGGTCAGTGTCACAGTGCCCCGCATGCTGGCTATCTTCTGGATGAATGCCAAAGAGATCAGCTTTAATGCCTGCCTCACACAGATGTTTTTCATCCCTTCCTTTTATGTCATGGAGTCTGGAATCCTTCTGGCCATGGCTTTTGATAGATTTGTAGCTATCTGGTACCCTCTGAGATACACAACCATCCTCGCTAACAACATGCTGGTGAAGATGGGACTGGCTATCCTGGTGAGGGCAGTGGCAATCCTGACCCCAGCTCCCATCCTGACAAGAAGCCTGGAAAGTTTCCGAACTCAAGTCATTGCTTACTCCTACTGCGCCTTCATGGCAGTGGTGCAGATAGCCTGTGGCGACATCTCTGAGCACATTATCTATGGTCTCATAGTTATTGTATTGTCTGTGGGCTTTGATTTGTTTTTTATCATTTTGTCCTATGGGCTGATCCTTCACGCTGTCTTTCGGATACCCTCTTGGGAGGCACGAGCCAAAGCTCTCAGCACGTGTGGCTCTCATATTTGTGTCATTGCTCTCTTTTATTCTCCTGTTGTCTTCTCTGTCCTGGCACAGATCTTAGGCTACCAGCTGGCTCCCCATTTGCAGATCATCATTGATAATCTCTACTTCCTGGTGCCTCCCATGGTCAACCCCTTGATTTATGCAGCACGGACCAAGCAAATGCGGGAGTGGGTGTTTCGGCTCCTCCACTGTCGTATATGCTAAGGTAGCTGTCTGAGGTGGACAGGACACATACCAATATAGAGTTAGAAATCATGTCAGGTTGGAGGTGGAGCTAAGTCTTGTCAGATTAGAGGCTTTTGGGGGAAAGAAATAACCAAGGAAAGAGAATGTATCATTCAGCCTGGGGATATAACTAGAGCATGTTCTATCTGTCAGGATTTGTTATGAAACCCTCATGACCACAACCTCCCCCAAATGCTTATTATACAAGTAATGAAATAGTAAAATTTTATTAATTTTATTTATCTGAAAGCATCACATAGTATAAATTGGAGGTAATTTTTTTTTAAGTATGGTAATGATTTTAGACATATATTCTTGGGATGCATATGACAACATCCTAGAGTATAAGGAGTGACAACTACTCTTAACCTGGACATCTTTTCTTTCACCTGACATTGCCTCAGAGAAGGGGATCCTGCCAGTAGAGAGGAATGTGGTCTGGCTACCCATAGGTAATGTTCAGCTCCTGCCAGAGCTGACTCTTCTTTGAATTTCTGGGAGTCAGCAGTCAGCACCAGCTCAGGCTGGGACTGGCATGAGCTGGTGGCAGCAAATAAACATATAATAATGTGGGGGATTCATTAGAGAGATACAATATGTGACATTTTGAAACCCATGCTTGACAACCATTTTATGTGTTCATAACTGTTCACATACCAAATGCCCAAGTAAGATCAATTAGAAAATCCCATTTGAAGTAGCTATCAAAACAATAATTGCATTTTGTATTACACATTTTTATGGCTGTCCTCATTGTTATTATTATATGTGCTGCCGAAGCAAACACCTGTCCTCATTGTTATTGCAAATAATTTTAACAGCGGTAACAACTTTCTTTTAAGCTTTGTTATTTTGTTCTATGCATTTTAAACTCTTATGTTCATACAACATTCTGCTAAGATGTATTACTATCCCAATTAATATGATGAGGACAATTAGTTTAGATAATTAAGATATTTTTGCTTGTTTTTTACATGGACAACTGATAGTAGAGTCAAAAGTCAGGGCTTGGTTTCGGTTATAAGCAGAACATAGAGAAACCAAACAAAATGTCAGGAAAGAAGACAAAACTTGCAAGCTTCCCATAGATCTAAGGCACATGGCAGGGGAAGAGGAGGGAGAAGGGTTAGAACAGGGGAGGGAAGAGCACAGCGACTATGGTGATGGATCACTATGCTATGGTGGTGGCAGAACTACAGGGATTACCTGGGAGGGGAGAAATCGAATACAGCCCCAAAATTAACAAAGATATAATAATAAAATACTTTTTTAAAGTCAGCTCTGGATGACAATAGCCGTGTTTTTTTATCTTCATTCAAAACTTTTCCTTGATAAAATTTATTGAAGACACATTATTTTCATATTTCAGAGTCTTTCATACTACATGTACCATATAGGTATTGAGTTAAAATAAAATAAATACATTTCTAAATGGTTGAACACATGAAGCAATCTTGTGTCCTCTTTGTGTTTAGGTCAGATAGTTGCAGGAGAATTGAACATACCTTCTTCCAAGGGCTTCTACTCTTGTTTGAAGAGTGGGATAGTCCACTAGGGCACAGCTACATTTTATTCTTTGGAAATCTAATGCCTTTGGTTTATTCTTTGTGTAACTTTCTACTAAAATGATCTAGGGCCTCCCCAGTGGTGCAGTGGGTTGAGCACAGTGTTGTGAAGCTGTCAGCAGCGTCTGTAGCACAGGTTCAATTACCGGCCAGCCAGGGAAATACCCACATGGTGCGGCAGACCTCTCCTGTCTCGCCCGCTACTCCCCTCAGCAGTGCTTTCAGTCTGTCTGCCTGTTCTGTTTTCCATTTTGTCTCTGGTGAATCCTCTCACCCTCCTGCAGCTCTGGCCTGTACCCCAGCTCTCGTATAAATAAATAAAATCTTTTTAAAAATAAAATAAATAAAATGATCTAAATAAAATTCTAATCCTACAAAATATTCTTATTAGTTAAATTATTGTAGTCTGAGAAAGGAACTGCATCCAATAAGTCTTAGTATTTCTGGTGAAGACAAGCAGGATTATAAAAAAGAAAATGATTTGTAGCACTATGTTGCCTGCCTGGGAAACCAAGAATGGTTTCCTACCACCTGTAGTAGAAAAGACAGCAGCAAAATTCAACTTTCAAGTGGACCAGGTAACCTACAAATTCTCCATATACTGGAAAGCTGGTTTTCCAGTTGTTCTTCTATGCACTTTAATTTAGAATTCTTACAAAGCTTATACTAGTTGGCACCTGGTGCCAATGTCTTGTTTCTTGTAAAAGGTTTATTTCCTAGAGTGTTGGGTATCTTTCCCTGGAAAACAGTCTATGGTTCACCCTACTGTGTTTCATTGTGAGATTATAAAGGAACATGAAATAATGTGACTACTCTAACCTACCTATTTTTTACATATGTCTGATTTTTTTTCTTTTTAGCTATATTTCTTTAAAATCTGTCCACATGAACACAGTTTGATCAATAAGTTATCTGTAGATAGTCCCTGTTCATGCTAATGGATTCCCATGACTCTATTAAAACACTTCCATAACTCGGGGCATAGTCCATCCATGAGAAGAACATGTAAGACGTATTGGGAAGGTGAGTTACTATCTAACAATAAGAAATGAATATACCTGGATAAACACTCATATTTCTAACTCTTCATTAAAGCAATTTGGAGATGTGTTTCTTACATTTTTTTCCCAAGTACCCTTAGCAGAAATTACATTTCATCCAAGCACCCCTAGTTCTGACAATGCACAGTATCAGTACAATATTTTGCTGAGTACAATATTTTGGATTTTTTCCTTTCATTGTCTAATGTTATCTCCATTTAAAAATAAATTAAATTTATAAAAAGAAAATAGCAATGCTAGTCAATGGCAACTATGAAAAGTTTAAAATTCACTTACCTAATAAAAGGACAATTTCTGTTCATTTAAATAAAATTGTGACTGTGTATCAGATATGTATCAGATAACTGTGATATTAATACATAATTTCCTACTGAAGAATCATTTGTGTATTTTTATCGTTGATAAAGGCAAAGATAAGCAAGTTTTTAATAAAACAAGTGTTCAAGGAATTTATTTTTTTTTAAGATTTATTTATTCATGCATACAAGAACCGGGGTACAGGCCAGATGCGCGAGATGGTGAGAGGATTCACCTGAGAGAGAGTGGGGAACAGAACAGGCAAACTGAGGAAATACACTGCTGAGGGGAGCAGCGGCAAGACAGGAGAGGTCTTCTGCACCATGTGGGACCCTTGTCGGCTGGCCGGGAATCGAACCAGCGCTGCAGAGTCTGCGGACAGCTTCACAGCACGGTGCTCAGCCGCCAGCGCCACCAAGGGAGGCCCTGTTCAAGGAATTTAAATTCACATACCCAGCCTATACTTTCTCACATCTACATGAGTTCTAGTGATAATGCTTTAAAAACTTGCAGTCAAGGTGAATATGATTTCATTTCTTAAGTAAACTCTATTACTTATATTTGCCCTGAGTTTGAATATGTGGTCTTCTCGATCACTTCTAAAATATACACTAGTTTCTTGGAGTTTTTTTTTTTTACCTCAACATGGACTAAAATACGTTAAATTACACTTGCTCAATATTTTTATTTCAACAATATACCATGAACTTTTGAAACCACAGAATACATCTTCTCACTGTTACATATTCAAAGGATAAACTGCCTCCAGGTATGTGGAAAGACACTATAAGTACATAAACAAAGAGGAAAGGAAAAAGCAGAAAAGATGATTGCAGAAAGGATGCAAAAATAAAAGATAATAGAAGAAAGGAAAAGAGAGATGGAGCAATGATAATAATTTATTGTATGTGTATATGTGTGTATAATATATATATAATACACACAGACACACCCACATATACTTATTTTTAAAGATTTATTTATTTATACAAGAACCAGGGTACAGGTCCGACGTGGGGGAGGGTGAGAGGATTCACCAGAGACAAAACGGGGAACAGAACAGGATGACTGATGAAATACACTGCTGAGGGGCGCAGCTGGCGAGATAGGAGAGGTCTGCCGCGCCATGTGGGACCCTCGCTGGCCAGCTGGGATTGAACCGGCGCTGCAGAGGCTGTGGACAGCTTCACAGTGCAGCACTCAACCACCTGCGCCACCAGGGGAGGCCCCCACATACACTTTTGACCCATGTTTAGCTCATGTTCGATTGCTCATATTTTGGAAATATAATTTTTAGGGAAATCATAATATCAAAATCTCACCAAAATAGAGGATAAAATATTTCCTCTTTAAACATGCAAATATATATATATATATTTTCCTATATGGCATTATTTTGGGGTCACTCCTGGGTTTCAGGCTGCAGAACACAAATTTGAGCAACCCTCCTACGGATCTCTTTTGTCTTCACACCATAGACTATTGGGTTAAGGGCAGGGGGTACCAGCAGGTAGATGGTAGACAAGAGGATATGGGTATAAGGTGACACGTGACCAAAGCGGTGGCTGAAGAAGGAAAAAAAGGCAAGGATATAAAACTCCATGAAGACAACAATGTGGGCAGTGCACGTGTTGAATGCTTTGAGTCGAGCCTCCTTCTGGGGAAGACGGAAAACAGTCTGAAAAATCAGAAAGTAGGAGATGAAGATAAAGATCATGTCAAAACCTAGAATAGCAAAGGCCACAAAGAGCCCAAATGATTTGTTAACACGGACATCTTCTGCAACCAGCTTGACCACAGCCATGTGTTCACAATAAGAATGAACAATAACCACAGAGTGGAAAAGATGCAATCGTTTGAGTAGAATGGGTAAAATCCCAACAAGCACTGTTGCCCGGATTGCCACCATCAGTATCATCTGAACTAGAAAGAAAGATGTGAGGATGGATGTGTGTCGCAAAGGATTACAGATGGCAATGTAGCGATCGTAGGCCATGGCCAGCAGGATGCCAGATTCCATACCCTGCAGCGCGTGGATGAAGAAGAGTTGTGCTAAGCAAGCATCAAATGCCATGGAACAGGAGTCAAACCAGAAGATGGCCAACATTTTGGGAGCAATGGCCAGGCAGAGACCTAGGTCAGTCACAGCCAAGACAGCCAGGAATATGTACATGGGTTGGTGAAGACTGCGCTCTGTAGGGATGATGATTAGCAAGAAGATGTTTCCCATTAGCGCCACCAAGCACACAGCACAGAATGGAAACCCAATCCAAAACTGCACATGCTCTAGTCCAGGGATTCCAATCAAGATCACTGTTTTGGGGTTCAGATATGACATGTTGGTGGATTCCATCAGACTGGTAAATCTTTTCTCACCACTGATTCTGATACCTCTTGATATATATATATATATATATATATATATATATATATATATATATATATATATGAATAGGAAGGAAGAAGTGAATTCTAGAGCATAAGAATCCTTGATGGAAAATGTGTCAAGTGTCTTTGAATCTTTTGGAATCAATTTAAGTAAGCATCTGAGTAGAATCCTTGGATATCTTTTCCCAAAGCCACTGCAGGTGTTTGTGTATTAGGAAAATGATCCAGTGTTTATCAACTAGGAATTGTGGCTATGGAAATTATGATCTAAGTTCATTGATCTTGCTAATCTTTAGAATGTTCTGAAATGGTGTCACAGATGATATGATTATATATTTGTCTATATCCAATTCCAAACTTCAGACACATTTCAGGTTAGGTGAAATTCCTCTGTGACACTTGAAATTAGAGTCTAGAGCTTCGATCCTATGACCTTGTTAATTTGTTCAAAGATCAGATTTTCCAATAGTGTTGTCTTTTCCCTGTCTTCTCATTTTCTCTGGTTCAGGAAGCAAAACACCTCCACGCATATCTTAGGAATTGATTCTCAAAAGAAGTTGTGAGGATGTTTGTTCTTTCAAAAAATATTGGTTGACTTGTCTGTGAGCTGGCCATTTTGCAGATTCTTGGAAGTGATGTGGAGGTTATATTCATTAGCAGTTGTAGAGCACATTCCACTCACTGATATAATTCTCAAGCAATAGCTCTCAAAGTGGATGTGTAAGCAGAAGGGGGATAGGAAGAGATATAAGTATCACAGATCTTAGAGGAGACAGAGTTGAGAAAATAGAATGTCAATGAATATAAAGGCACCACAAATTAAGATAAGAAAGTAAAAAACAAAAACTGACCTACTATATAACTTCTGTAGCGTAAGTAAATGTTTTGATGAACCAACATGGTGCAGCAGAACTCCCCTGTCTCGTCCGCTGCTCCCCTCAGCAGTGTATTTCATCAGTCTGCCTATTCTGTTCCCCACTCTGTCTCTGGTGGATCCTCTTACCCTCCCATGCATCTGGACTGTACCCTGATTCTTATATAAATAAATAAATCTTTAAAAAAATTAAAATTAAAAAAAATAAAATGGGTATAAAATAACACAAAATGACCTAGGTAAGTATTTATAATTTGCCTGATAATATAAAGATAAAAGTAAAATTTAGCTTTCATCTCACCATTATAGGTGATAATGATTAGTTATCACAACTTTTCTTCTATATAGTGTTAGCATACCATGAATACTATATACATATGTAATTTCATTGCATTATATATTATTGTTATAATATATTATATACCTATATACTAAATCTATAGCTGTATCATTTTCTGTATATATGGTATTTTCACATGTTAAAAAACCTTTCTGGATGGGGAGAGATTGCTCTTTTCTGGCTCAGTTAACCAATTCTTAGAGATAGCTCCAGCTAATAGCATGTTTTTGATATTTAAATTAATGAATACAGAGTCATACCTTTGCTCCGTGCACTCCAGACAATATCCGTCTGCTTTAATCATTCCAAGGCCAGATGCTAGACAACTAGAAATCTGCTCTCCAGCACATAGTCAACCAAAATTAATCCAACTATTCAAGCTTAAACTATTCAACCTTCCTAGCTTTGCCTTTCCAAGAAAATGCGTCAAAACCTTAGTTTAAGCACAGATGCCCACTAATCCTTACCCCTCCACCGCCTTCTGTCTTCTGCCTCCAGATACGCTCTGGTGTGTCCATTTGGCTCTATAAGGTCTACTGTGCTTCCTATCACTAAGGCCTCTTATTATAATAAACTTTATTTCCTGACCTCTCTTTGGTGTCCTCCTGTGGCTGCACCTGAGACCTCATAAAAAAATAAAAAACAGTACCTAGAATTGTAGGCTAGGAATTTAGAAACACATGTCAATAGTAGAAACACATGGTTCTACTATTTATCTCAAATGGAATCTTGTCTAAGTTCCATCAGATAAATGGGACTAATGTCACTAAACTTATTGAATTATTAAGAGGGTTAAGTAAGTTTATAGAGGGAAAATTTAGTACACAATATAGATGAAATTAAACACTCCATGTTTGGTAGGTAGTGCTTGTCAGAAACTGTAGAAATGTCTATGAAAACAGAAATCCATTGCTGCCTTCTTAAAAAAGTGTAAATAAGCTAAAATAAAGAAATGAAGAAAATTTCTGAAGAAATAATTGATTTAAATTATGTGGGAGCTTGGCTTATCATGTGCCTCAACTATTCTGTGTCTTTGCCTTGATCATTCTTCGCTTTGACTAGTCTGTGCCTCTCAGTGTGCAGAAACAGGGAAAGTTGATAAGGAAACTCTCAGGGCAAAAGTCCTGGTGTGAGGATCTACACATGCTGAAAACAGCATGTGCAGAAACAGCAATAGGTGTTACGGCTAGAGTAGCATAAACACAGACTTTCCTTGACTTTCTCCTTATTTCCCAATCTTGGCTGGGGCCAGCTGATTTTGCATCCCCGGCACATTTGTGCATTCCCCATTTGCCTGCTTGCTTCTTTGATCATTTTTATTTTCCATCTTATTCTAAATAAAAACTAGACTGCCCTTGGATCTGGGCTGCACCTTCGTGTTGTCGTCCCTCTACGCTTCTCGTTGTTCTGCACTTGGACTCTGAGTTATCCTTTTTCATCCCGCCACCACATGTCATAACGAACCAAAATTGCATGTGACAATAAATCTTCAGAAGTCAAATAACCTTCCTTAACTTGATCCACAATATTGGAAATTCATGTAAAAAGATGAAGTGGTCATGTCACAATAGAAAAATGACTTTAATAAATAATATATAAAATAATAAATCTCACTTATATAATGGATTTGGTCATGTCACCTGAGAAAGAGATCTTCCTTTAAAGTCTTAACAGGTAAGTGGGGAAAAATAGGAAAATAGCACTTAAAACACCTCAGATTAAAAATATCTTCTAAGAAAGCAAAGGCATGTGTTTGATACAAATTGTCTTTTTATGATAATCAGATCAAAAAAATGTTTATTCTGTGTCTCTGAGTAAAAGTGAAGGAAAAGGGAATAAGAAGATATCTCAACTGGAAGTAGGGTAGAGTGAATAACAACAGAAAAAAGGCAAGAATGAATATCCCAGATAAAGAAAACTGTATTGGGCCTCCCGTGGTGGCGCAGCGGTTGAATTCTGGGCTGCGAAACTGCCCACAGCCTCTGTAGCACAGGTTCGATCCCCAGCTCCCGGGGAGCGTCCCACATGGCACGCAGACCTCTCCTACCACGCCCGCTGCTCCCCTCAGCAGTGCTTTTCGTCCGTCTCTCTGTTCTGTTTCCTGCTCTGGCTCTGTGAATTCTCTCACCCTCCGGCGCTTCTGACTGTACCCAGTGCTTGTATAAATTAAAAAAAAAAAAAGGAAACAGTATTTCAGGGGGTAGGGTATGATTTATAGTTACTGTAGCAATAAGACTAGATACCAAAGCTATGCAAGAAAACAAGATGCTTCTATCTTAGACCTTCTCTTGACATCTTACAAATTCCCCAGTCCAGACACCCCCCTGTAGGGACAGGAAGACCACTGAGCAGGTTTTCTGATCCAACAGACCGGGTAAAGGAGGAGTCAGAGTCCTCAGTGGCTTTTGCAGGCTTTTATTGGGGTTCACCAGGCATATGGCAGGCAGGGGTACTGGGGGGCCGGGAGGCTGGCAGGCCTCCCAGCCCCCAGCAAATCCTCACTCTATCAGGGCTCTCTGGCGTTCTCTCGGCTTCTCGACTTCTCTTTCGGCTTCTGCTGGCATCCCCGTGATGCCGCCCTTAAAAGCCCAGTCTCAGCCCAGGTGAATCCATCTACCTATGCCCACACCCTATTTCAGGTGCCCGCCATCAGGCATGCATTCAGGACTGCAAGGATCCATCATCTATCCTGATGGCGGGAGGGCAGAAAAGCCTGATGCTTTTTACCTTACCCTACACCCCCACACTCGCATTCCCACACACATACCTTTACAAACCACATCTTCTCTTCTTAGTTTTAACAAACCAGGCAATATTAGAATTACTTTACAGGTAAATATCAAAAGAAGAACTTGAAAACCTGATTTTCATCTGATCCTGCCACTAATAAACTAAGATGTGTCAGTAGAGCTTTCTCCACATATAATTAAGAAAGTAATTTCCACATCTCTTTCACCTCTAAGAAAAATGAATCTAGCCCATCTCTCACTGATAAATAAATGTGAGTAGGGAAAATAAAAGGAAGCACACCAGATAAGCATTTGTTACTGAAATAAACTGATTCACTATCCTTCCCACTTCCTCTTAAAATTTGCTATAATTAGTAACACCTAGCCAAGCACAGGCCCCAGTTAATGAGGAAGAAACTCACCTGGAAAAACAGATAACTGTCTAGAATGTAAGATCAGTGAACAGAACCACTCTTTTCTGCCAAGATTTAGATTTGGACAGGTATTAATAGCAGAGTCTTTCATCACCTGCCTTAGCTACTGCTTTCCTTGACCTGAGATTCTATTACTACTTGAGATCCCAGGGCAATTTTCAGACCTGGCCCCAGAGAGATCATTACACTTCTGAAATTTGGCCATTTTGAATTAGATTTGCATGTGGGAACACAGCCAAAGAACTCAGTTACCTGCTGAGAAAGTATTTCCAGAAAATAACAACCAGAAAATTTCAAAATATGGGTCAATTTCAGAACATGGTAAATCTGAGATCATTAGGAGTATGAGAAAGAAAATTTGATAAACAGAGCATCTGTAGACTGAAAAGATGGAGAATACTAATTTATTTTTCTTTATGGTCTATGGCCTGACTTGTAATGAATATACTACTGCAGATGAAACTCATTGCTATAAGAATTTCTACTAATCTACCACCACATAAAAATCATTTGAAGCCATATAGTACTTTGTAGTTTCAGAAAACATAAACAAAATTGTGGAGGGGGTCATTTGGACTGTGGTGGAAG